CCGTGACCGGCAACGGATCGCAACCCTCAGTGTCGCGCCCGTACCAGACCGTGACCGGCAACGGGATCGCAACCCTCGGTGTCGCACCCGCACCTCGCTCAGCCAGTGAGCGGCCGGTCTGTATGTGGGATCCAAACCCTCGGCGGGAGCGCCGCTGCGCTCCCAAGCGGCGCACTGTAGCAGTGCGCCACCGGGCCGGCCCCTAGGTTCATTTTTTTTGCACATGGATGTCCAGTTGTTTCAGCACTATTTGTCGAAAAGACTCTCTTTTCTACATTGTATTATGTTTGCTCTGCTGTCAATGATCAGTTGACTATATTTATGTGGGTCTATTTCTGGGCTCTCTATTCTTTTCCATCAATCTATTTGTCTATTCTTTGCCAGCACCACACTGTCTTGATTACTATAGCTTTATAGAAAGTCTTGATATCAGGTAGTGTTAGTCCTCCAGTTTTTTCTTCTTGCTCAATATTATGTTAGCTATTCAGGATATTTTGCCTCTCCATATAAACTTTAGAATCAGTTTGTCAATATCTACAAAATAACTTGCTGGGATTTTGATTTTGATTGCATTGAATTGATAGCTCAAGTTTAGAACTGACATCTTGACAATATTACATCTTCCTGTCCATAAACATGGAATCTCCATTTATTTAGTTCTTTGATTTCTTTCATCAGAATTTTGCAGTTTTCCTCTTATCAGTCTTGTACTTTTTTTAATATTTATAACTAAGTATGTCATTTTGGAAGGAGCTAATGTAAATGGTGTTGTGTTTTAATTTCAAATTCCATTTGTTCATTGCTGGTATGTAGGAAAGTGATCAACTTTTGTATATTAACCTGGTATCCTACAACGTTACTCTAATTGCTTATTAGTTTCAGGTATTGCTGTTGGTTCTTTCAGATTTTCTATGTAAATGATCATGTCATCTGAGAACAGAGAGAGCTTTATTTCTTCCTTCTCAATGTACTTTTTATTTCCTTTTCCTGTCTTGCTGCATTAGCTAGGACTTCTAGTATGATGTTGAAAAGGAGTAGCAAGAGAAGAAATCCTTGCCTTGTTCCTGATCTTAGTGGGGAAGCTTCTAGTTTCTCACCATTACGTATGATGTTAACTCTAGGGGTTTTTTTGTAGATATTCTTTATCAAGTTGAGAAAGTCTCCTCCGTTCCTAGTTTACTGAGAGTTTTTAGCATGAATCATTATCGAATTTTTCCAAATGCTTTTCTGCATCTATTGATATGATATGTGATATTTTTTTCTTTAGCCTGTTGATGTGATGAGTTACATTAATCGAGCTTCAAATGTTGAACCAGCCTTGCATACCTGGGATAAATCCTACTTGGTCATGGTATATAATTTTTTTATACATTGTTGGATTCAATTTGCTAATATTTTGTTGAGAATTTTTGCATTTACATTCATGAGATATATTATCTGTGGTTTTCTTTTCTTCTAATGTCTTTGTCTGATTTTAGTATTAGGGTAATGCTGGCCTCATACAATGAGTTAGGAAGTATTCTCTCTGCTGCTATATTCTGGAAGAGATTATGGAGAATTGGTATAATATCTTCTTAACTATTTGGTACAATTCACCAGTGACCTCGTCTTGGCTTGGTGCTCCCTGTTTTGGAATGTTACAATTAATTACTGATTCAGTTTCTTCAAACGTTATAGGCCTATACAGATTATACATTTCTTCTTGTGTGAGTTTTGGCAGATTGTGTCTTTCAAGGAATTGGTCCCTTTTATCCAGGGTATCAAATTTGTGGGCATGAAGTTGTTCATAGTATTCCTTTATTATCCTTTTATGTCTATGGGATCTGTAGTGATGTCCCCTCTTTCATTTCTGATATTAGTCATTTCTGTCTTCTTGCTTATTTTCTTAGTTAGCCTGGTTGGAGGATTATTAATTTTACTCAATTAAAAGAACCAGCTTTTGGTTTTGTTGATTCTCATTATTGATTTTCTGTTTTCAATTTCACTGATTTCTGCTCTAATTTTTATTGTTTCTTTTCTTCTGCTTACTTTGGATTTAATTTGCCCATGTCAAATAGGCTCTGACAAAGCCCCAGTGGGTTAGGCTCTGGTTTACGAGTTTCTCCTGACAGCAGTCCTTGTTAAGAAAAACAGAATGCCCCAGCATATTTCAAATGCCCTCTCCCATCAGAAAAACGGGGGATTTTTCTCTGATATTTACTGTGAGAATCTGGTTGAATTCCTGGAGGTAAAACTCACAAAAGCAGAAGACCTTCAGTCTAACCTCATCTCTTGAGGGGGCCACTCCATGACTGGGTCCTCCTGGAACTTTTAACTCTTAGACTTCTCCTATGTAGGCCCCAGCAATTTGTCAATTACAGTTCAGGTTTTCCTACCCCAGGACTGGTTCCTGGAGAGGTCTCTGCTGCAGTCTATTGCAAACCTTTGTATCTGACTGCCTGTCTCTCATTTTGGAGACAGCAGTTTTCCCTGTGACCTCATTTCTCTTACAGATCTAAGAAGAGCTTCTGACTTTTCAGTTCAGCTTTTTACTTGTTAGGATGGAGCGACAACTTCCAAGCTCTTACATGTGGGACCAGAAAATAATTTTTTAATGAAAAAAATATACTAGAGTTTATAGGACTTTTATCTTCTTCTGGTCTGATTCTCCAGAAATGATTTTTAGGTTATATTCTCTAGATTCAAAGGATGAAGGTAAGAGAGAAATTTCTTAGAAATAATTTACTCATCTCTTAGAATCTGTGAAATTCCATTCAAATTTTCCGAGATTTGGGAAAAGAAGGACTTCTGAGGACTAGAAACTTTATCATCTGTTTTCCTCTTGGGTATAATGACATTTTTAACTACTTTGTTCACTGATCCTAGATATGTCAATTGGCTATAAGTGGATCTTTTACACCCAACATAGCAAAACCTATGTCTCAAAATACATGCTACTATACTCAACAGGGACTGAAAAATATCTATTGAATGCTACCATAAATTAAATATCACAGAGTTCAGAGGTGAGTCAGTTTCAATCCAAATGTAAAGCCCAGGACACTGAAAGCACCACTTATTTAACACAATAACCAGAGAGAAAAGCCATCTACCAGGAACTGCTTGTGGGATGCATAATTCTTTGTTTCCTGCTGCTTGTAGGTCATTGATCAAAAATCTATGAATGACAAGACTCAACTTTATATAATGGCAGTCTGTAGGGAAACAGGACTTCTCTTTTAAGAGTCACTTTAAATAAAAAGAAAAATCTATTGTTCCTTTTCTAACAGGAAGGCTTTGATGCTTTATTTAGAACATAACAATACATTGATTCTCCACGACTAGTAACATCTTCAAAAGATCAGAAAGTAAAGCAAATGAACGTACAGCTCTGAACACCTCATTAAAAAGAGAGGCCCCAAGAACGTCCCAGACTGTGAAACATGCCTTGCTATATATAACACACTATTTTTTAACAAACAGTGGTTAAAACGAGTATATTTAAAATGATCCTGGGGGAAACATATACTCACTGTGGTGAGATTAATAATAATACTTGTGTTGTCTAAGGCTGTCCAAAACCCTGGTTTGGAAAAGAACCGCTATCTGGAGCATCTTTACTTAAAACACTGGTGGGTTCTATTTCTTAATTAGCAATGGGGACATTCATTTTAAGAAAAAGAAGGCCTCTAAATGGTACATGACTATTTTCTGCTATTAATACTTCTTTTTTGGTGGCTTGCTGGTACAGGGATCCAAACCCTTTAATGCTTCATTTTTAAATATTCAGTAGAATATTGATTCCTTTTAATTAATTCAAATAAACATTAAAACTTCTTTCAGTGAAATACTACAAGTACTAAATTACACAAAACAAATGACATTTGTTGAATTCTGGCTTTTAGAACCTGTGTATCTCAGTAAGACACATGAATCCAAAGTACTGAAAAGGAAACTACACAATATTTAGCTAAAGTGACATAATGATCCAAGCATTCTGTCATGATATTCAAAGCTTCACTAATAATTAACTAGCAATATTCAGTTAAGAAGAATGAACTTTATAACCACAGATATTCAACTTTCCCATGTATCAAACATGTACCTTAGACAGCTCCATGCCTGGCCCACACTGGTTGCAGAGAATACAGTTTCCAGAGCGATCTCTGAATTCTTGCTGTCTACAGTCTCCTGTTTCACAAATCACTTTGCATGACTGGAAAAAAGTATTTCACAGAATATTAAAGTATGTTATTTATATTTTTTGCAAGAAAGGAAAAATATCTTCAGTATTAGTCACATAATCACTAAGGCAAAATGAAGTCAACTGAATTTTCTCTTTAGGAAGAAAAAACACTTTCTGAATAAGTTAATGGAACAAATAAATCACTAAGCCTAATTCTTCTCTGTATTCCAGAGAATGCTCATTCATTCCCTGAATGGAGTCTCCCTTTTCTTGGAATTAATTGCTATCTTCCTCTGATACTCTTCTGAGTTCCCAAGGGAAAAAATGACTTAAGAGCTGCTCACTTTTCAAAATGAGAGGATTTGTAGCAGAACAGCCATGCAGGGACCCAAGATCCTTTTGCTACCTGAAAAATTCTGAATTAAAAAAAAAAACATTTTTGGGCCGGCCCGGTGGTGCACTGCTACAGTGCGCCGCTTGGGAGCACAGCGGCACTCCCGCCGAGGGTTCGGATCCCACATACAGACCGGCCGCTCACTGGCTGAGCGAGTTGCGGGCGCAACACTGAGGGTTGCGATCCGTTGCCGGTCACGAAAAAAGACAAAAAAAGGAAAAAAAAAAGTTTTTGATCTTCAAGAAATATAAACATACTCAAGTATAATAAATTGAATAAATAAATAAATAAATGGAATAGAGCAGTATAGCTACAAGAACTTTGCAATTATCCTGTAGGCATATCTGCCACATCGTTTTGATGGAGAAATTTCAACCTTTTTCAGTTGAACTACATTTACTTAGAGATCTTTCAAAATATACTATCCGTCAACCATGAGATCAGTGAAATGCTTGATCATGGTGATGAAGATGACCACAGTGGCCAAATTCTCTGAACTTTTCAAAGAAAAGTATTATGTAAATAGGAACACACATTCTTACTGATTCATTTAACCATTTACTGGAACCTAACAATATGCTTTGGTTCACAACATAGGATTTAAACGGAAAAATTATACTTTGACACAAAGGTTGTAAGTAATTTTCTAAAATACAGCTTTTTCTCATATTTTATCTAAAGGCAAGTTCACTTCATATACTGTCATCCTCCAAAAAGTGTGTTTACCTGTTTATTAACAGTATTTCACAAAAAATGTTGGCATCAATAGAATCTCATAATTGGTGAAGACCTTCAGTCTAACCTCATCTCTTGAGCAGGAACACCCTGAACAACATAACTGACTATAATTTTGTCTTCCTAAATGAAAGCTGAAAATCTTAGGAAGTACTGGGGGAACGTCACAGCATGTCTATCACACATAGGTACACAGGAAATTGTTTTTGATGATTATTACAATGAGCAGTCATTTTGTACAAACCACGTCTACCTTGAAGCAGGAATATCTGTAAAGATACCTGCCAACTTCCTTAAATAAAGTCAAAGTCTTAACCTCTAGGGCAAGCAGGACGAAGAATTCAAGGTGGGGTTGGGACTAGAAAATTCTTTGGGGTTAAAGATCTAATAATCTCCTGCCTCTCTTAACTACCCCTTGACTACCAATCTTGGAGGAGTTTGATTTTATTTAATAGGAGTAGGAGACTCCCTTTCCCTGCAGAGACTGTGATCTCTTTGAGGAAGACAAATTCTGCAACCTCCCTCCTGGACCATTTACTCAGTGTTTAACAACCTTAATTGGTAGAAAGGAAGTTTTCCTTGTATCTATCTGGATCCCAGACTCCAATTTGACCCCATTTCCTCTGACTTTGTTTTCTAAGAAGGCGTCAGGTATTGTCTTCAAAGTGATAATTCTTTGTACATTTGGATATCATTATTATATTCTCTAGATTAAATAAATTTCAATTCTTTTGAACACCTCCATAGATCTTTTGCCAAACTTTCAAACACTAAAATTTTCCATCTGCCTTTAATACTTTTTGGAACCAAGAAGGATATAAGAATAATAGCTCTTTTTTTTTTTTTTTCCTTTTTGTCTTTTTTTCGTGACCGGTAACAGGATCGCAACCCTCAGTGTCGCGCCCGTACCGGGACCAGCAATGGGATCGCAACCCTCGGTGTCACGCCCGCACCGCGCTCAACCAGTGAGCGGACCGGTCTCTATATGGGATCCGAACCCTCGGCGGGAGCGCCGCCGCACTCCCAAGAGCCGCACTCTACCGAGTGTGCCACCAGGCCGGCCCAAGAATAATAGCTCTTTTAAAAATCTACATAAACTGTGTAAATCACGGGCTGCAAATTAGAATTCATGGTCTTGTTAGGTTCTAGAATGTGTTGTGAGAGACATATATGCCTATAAATCCAAGCTAATGTCATGATTATAGTGCTACAAGCAACATTGTGATTTTATGACTTCATCTAAATAACGTAGTTTCTAGAATTGTTACAAACATCATGACTGAGCAGCAATCTTTCACTTATTAATTACATGCAAAAATGATAGAATGCAAAAATAACATGAGTCCAGGAATAGAAACCAGTTTTGGTACTACTTATATAAATTCCTTCACCACATTCTTATGGAAGAAATGAGCTTACTTACCAAATAGCCTAGTAAAATTATAATGGTGAAAAATGTTTTCTCTTGTTCTAGTTGTATTTTTGAAGCCATCATCCTTGTCAGATGTATTTATTGGTGATGAATCAAAAGAAAAAAAAATCAAAGAAAAGAAGGAAGATACAGTTAGTGTTAAAAACGTTAGTGACTATGTTGTGTATTTACTATACAATGGTTACCTCTTACTATATATACTAGATAATAAATACTACTTATGTTTTAAAAGGTACTGACTAAAAGATACACTAGACAAATATAATACTTTTAAAATTGGGGTTGTGAGAATTGGAGCTTTGTCTACCTACATATTGCATGCAAACCCCCTGCTGGCTCTGAATTCCAGACCATACCTGCTTTTATTTTCTACCCAAGTCTTGACAGTGTCCAATCTACTTCACTCAGTAGAGAATTACAGGCAAACAATGACTGTATAAACCTTCCATTTATATTGGTTTAGACAGTGCCAACAGGATAATAATCGTGATAAAATACCAACACTTGCTAAGCCCTATGTGCCAGGTACTATTTTTAGCATGCTAACTCATTTAATCCTCACAACTACTCCAGAAGGTAAATTGTATTGTTATCACTGTTTTAACGATGGGGAAACTGAGGCTCAGAGAGGGCTGAATAACCTGCCCCAGGTCACACTGCTCATACAAGGCAGAGCCGGTGGCAAACCCAGGTGGGTGGCTCCAGCGTCCCTGCTCTTACTTCTCACTGTAGGCTGCTTTGGTACATGTACCCTGCAAAACAAGGTGCTCTGTTCAATGAAAACACTACAATTGGATCTTGGGAGCTTCACCTCCACTAAGAAGCAGACAGCTAACATCTGGCATTTGTGAATTCTTCCCCTAACCTGGTCAGTGCAAAGTATGTATTGGCAGAGAAAAAAGCATTCATTTTAGAACAACTAAAAGTCATTTACAAGTGATGAAATTGGAGGCACTGACCCAACGATTCAACGAAAGATAAACTAAGCCTCTTTATTTTCATCACAAATGATCTAAAATGTAGAAGCAAATCTGTTTGTTTTTTACAGGTCCATACAATGTCAAGAGAGGAAATTTTTAAAAAATGAAGTGAGGCTTCATCTGGTGGCTCCACCTATCAGGTAGAGAAACACACGTTTGGTTTCCTTTAAAGTCAAATCTTCCAAAACTAACAGAGACCACGAGAGCATCATCTGACTACTTAGAAAGAAACCAGAGCCGAGAACCAGAACGGTGAGCCACATAGCTCAAGAAAAATGACAACGACAGAGGACGCAGAGCAGGCGGCCTATGCGGCCGAGGCTGCCACAGACAGCCCCGCAGCACCTGAACCCAGTGGCCTCAGCAGGTCACACTGTCAGTGCAGAAAAAAGTTCTTTTACCTCTGTGGAATGAATGACCTATTGTGAGTGAATTCAAACAGGTTTTTTTGTTTTTCCAGCTTCTTGGTCGTAGCTTTTTTTCCCTGTGGCGTGAGTGAATTCAAACAGGTATTTTTGTTTTTCCAGCTTTTTTTCCCTGTGGCATATCTCAAAATCATCCAGCAATTACCCAACCATGAAAATCATTGTGAGTGAATTCAAACAGGTTTTTTTGTTTTTCCAGCTTCTTGGTCGTAGCTTTTTTTCCCTGTGGCATATCTCAAAATCATCCAGCAATTACCCAACCATGAAAATCATTGCTTATGTAGACACAGGGTTAGAGTCAGAAGATAAAATCACATTGTCCGAAATGCATGCTTTGGGTTATCTCTTTCTTGACATGGTCTGAAATTTTAAACTATGCATTAGTTTTTACAAGTAAAAAATGTATAATTTACATGGAATTAAAACTAATATGGAAGAAAGAGTATAACACCAAAGCATTTTTTTTTTTTTTGTCTTTTGTCTTTTTTTCCGTGTCCGGCAACGGATCGCAACCCTCAGTGTTGCCCCCGTACTGGACCGGGGACCGGCAACGGGATTGCAAGCCTCGGCGTTGCTCCCACGCCTCGCTCAGCCAGTGAGCGGGAAAATGTGGTAGGCGGCGATACAGGGGTAAAGGGGGAGAACATTCCAGGCAGAAGGGAGGGCATGTGCATAGCAGGGAGGACAAGCACTGGGCATTTTTAGAAACAAGGAATTAAAACTCTCAGAACACAGCAGGCAGAAAACGTAGGACAGCAGTGAGAGTGAAATGCAGAGCCATTCTTCTCATACTTCTCAGATGGGGTAGGATCGAGTTATGGAGCACCTGGAAGCCCATTTTATAAGTGAACAATTCATTTTTTGTTGTTGTTAACAAATATTTATTAAGTGTATAAAGTATTATACTAAAAGATAGTTGCTGTGGGACATATACATGAATAACACATGTTCTTAAACTTCAAGTTGCCTTACTATTACCTAGGAAAATAGATGAGGCATGTATGTCGCGGGAACCGGTCTGTATGTGGGATCCGAACCCTCGGGCGGGAGCCCTGCCGCGCTTCCCAAGCGGCGCACTATCCAGTGCGCCACCGGGCCGGCCCCTAACACCAAAGCATTTATGCAAAATATGAGAGGGACTGACAGAGGCCGTCAGTGCATACCATAATGGAGCAAGTAGAGAGTCCCTGACTTACGATGGCTCAGCTCAAATGATTTTTCCCTCTGTGATGGTGTGAAAGTGATGTACAACAGTGGAAACCGAACTCTGAGTACCACACAACCATTCCGTAATTCACTGTAACTGCAGTGTTCAATTAGTTACATGAGATAGTCAACACTTTACTACAAAATAGGCTCTGAGTCAGATGACTTTGCCCAGCTCTAGGCTAATGTAACTGTTCCGAGTACACTCAGGCAGCCTGGGCTAAACTGTGATGCTGGGTAGTTTAGGGGTGTTAAATGCATTTTTGACTTGTGCTCTTTTCAACTTACGATGGGTTTATTGGGATAAAACCCCATCATAAGTCGAGAAGCATCTGCAGTATGGACAGAATACTCTACTGGGATACTACACTAACTGCTGAAGAGGGCAGACAATAGTGAAGCATTTCTCAGCAATGTCACTTCGAGACTCCACATCTATAAGGAGATAAAAACAGAAGCTGTCTCACAGGGGTGTGTGAGGATTAAAGGGACTAATGCATGCAAAGTGCTTAGCCTCATGCCTAGAGCAGTTGCTGGTGGTGCTAGTTTTGCTGTTACTGAGAACACCACCTGCTAGATGTGTGAACCCAGACAAGTTACTTACCCCAGAGTCTTAGTTTCCTCATCTCTAAATTGGGCAGAATAACATTACCCACCTCTTGAGGTTGCCCTGAGCAACAAGTGAGTTTAACAGCTGTAAAGCACTAACTGCTCTGGTACGTACGTACTCAATAAGCGTTAGCAATATTGCTGTCCTTTGTGTCATGGCATTATTATCGAGGATCAGATGATCCAGTGTATGTGATAGCACTGAAGACTGTAACTTGTCAGACAGGTGTGAGACATTTAGATGGCCACAATCCAGTGGCAGGCAATGTTTTAGACTCCTAGACCTATGAGCCTGCAGGAAGCACTTGAAGACTAGGAATTGATTCAAAGTTTGGACCAAGCATTCACAACGCTGAGTATTGTATTAATGTTATATAAAAGGTATAACTTCTTTCCTTACGACCACACTCTGAAGTAGATATATCTCCATATGATAGGAGAGAAAACTGAAGGTCAAACGACACAAATACTAGAACCAGTGAAAACCAAATCAAATCCACTCCTGGTCACTTCAAAACAGGGCTGTGCTGGAGTTACCAGGTTTAAGGGCTGTATCCTATCGCACCGTAGCAGCGGGTGACTCTGGCCATGCGGGTTAGCAGGACTACATCAACACAACTGATGACAGATATATAACAAAACCGTACTTTAAATAAGGGCTGTATCCTATCGCACCGTAGCAGCGGGTGACTCCGGCCATGCAGGTTAGCAGGACTACATCAACACAACTGATGACAGATATATAACAAAACCGTACTTTAAATAACCTACCCATTTATTCAACAAACTTTGATTAAACGGTTACTAAGTGCCTGAAAGGAGGCAGCATTAGATCGGAAGACACTACAAAGGTGCACTTTGAGGGAACTCACAGCTTAGCAGGGGCGGTGATCTCCCAAACACCTTGTAAGATATTTTGGCCAAGGAGTATTTTAGAAATAAACAATTTAGCTGGTGAAGTGTTATAAGTGTGACCTTGAATTTCCCGGAATAAAATGAAATTTCTTACGAAATTCTTTGACATTCATAAAAAGGAAGAAAATTTAATGAACTTAAGCATTTAAGTAATAATATTTAAAATAAAAATAAGGCAATAAAAAGGTAATTTATTGAAATTGCTTTTAAATTCTGGGCATTCAGGGTCTGGCCAAAAGATAGGAAAATGTTTTTATATGCTTCAGTGTTCTATTTATTCTGAGATAAATTATCTAGCTTAAGACAAGTTATTGTGATTATGTACAACGGGTCTGTCTACTGGGAGTTTTCATAGTTTGCTGAAATATTCAGACTGCACAATACTACTAACAGTCTAGCCTCCACTTCCTGCTGAGCGTGCACAGAAACTGGCCCTCGCTAAGCACTAAAGGAGAAGACTAATAATTCTCAGCTCACTGTATTCCAGAAGCACGGTATTTGTGCCTAAAATCTGCTATCCAACAATAACAAGCAAGTTGGCAGTATCAAGAGAACTAGGCAAGCAAAGAAGAAGGGACATGAACCTAAAGCACAGAGCTGGCAAACATCCTGTTCAGCTGCACAGAAAGTGGTGGCTTACCTAATCCAGCTGCTCATTTGAGTGAATGGTAACTAATATGCATGTGTCCTAATTGGCCTCCCTCTAGAAGGGATAAATCCAGCAGGTGCTATAACGCCCACTCCTTGTAGCTCCTTGTCCATAACAAGGAAAAGTGGCGCATCCACAGGCAGAGGAGGTCTCAGAGGCAGCAGCTAGCAGCAGGCTTATCTCTCACGGGCTGGGCAGACCACTGGGTATCAAACCACAGTGACTGTCTCTGCCCGCAGTCCCCTCAGCTGCTGCCCTCCTCTGCAACAGCTGCCCCTCA